GTAAAAAAAAGAAAGAAAAAATGATAGCCCAAAACTCTGAGGAGCCCCACCCCCTTCCACCACCCCTCTTAATCGCCACTGAATAATGTGGGGTATTTAATGAGTTGAGTTTGAGTAAGTAAATGTTCTCATATCATGCTGTATAAGTTAAAAACTCAAAAGGCAGCACTTCCTGTTTAGATACTGAGGCGGATGCAGGATTTGGCAGTAGGGTGTGTGTGTGAAAGTGCATACCACCTCAGCCCCACGATGGTTGGAGCTGAGTTGCAAAAATTTTGAGAATATGGATGTATTGAATATGCCCCGAAATTGCACTCTCGAACTTTAAAAATCTTACTGGTAATTCATATCAACAATGCAATTATTTTTCTTAATACAATTAAGCACCTTCTGCAACCCTCTGCATCCGCCCCATAAATATAGTGCGTTTTGTTATGTATTTGTTGTTAATGCAAGAGTAAAGGTACCTAGTACTTGTAAATCACTTGTTTATCAGCCACATAACTGATTTTACTGCACATGATTGTAGTATCAAAATTGAGCGTATGCGTTGAAGTGTTAGACGTCCGTGCATATAAATGTTTACAGTAGTAGTAGTAGTAGTAGTAGTGCATACAGTATTTAGAAATCAATTGAAGAATGAAAATACAGTACTGTACCGTGATTCTGGTATCACAATGTTTTCCCATTTTTTGTTCATATTTTAAATTTTTCTCACACTCTTTTGTATATGTAAACTAATTTTCTGTATAATAATAACAAGTCTTTAATCTAGTCTTCAATGAGTCTTGAATATAAAATTGCCATTTCTTGCCATCTAGATTCCTGTTGATGACATAATTAATGTCAAAATATTGAATCCCAACACGATGGCGTGTATTTCAATACTTGGAGTATGTATTATACTTTCTTATCTGAGATTAATCAGTGGACCTTTCGGTTTTTGCCATCTAGAGGTGCCATAATCATAAATTTTCTTACCTCTGATGCAGTGGCGTATCTAGCAGTATTGTGCGGGGCCGCGACCAAAATATGGGGGGGCGTGGAATTTATTTTCGGTGACTGCACCCACTGAAAAATATTGCTTCTTAGATTCCCGAATACATGTTAACCGTGACAGATATGTTAAAGTATATCTCTTGAACGCAGTATTTGATGTGTTTTGATGAACGTCAATAAAGGGAAGTTGAGAAAGCATTAACCCATTTTCTTGAGCATAAGCCTACCCTAATTTTTTTTTGCTTCAAAGTTTTCGAATGGGGCCCCCCCCCCCCCCCCCCCCCGGATACGCCATTGCTCTGATGGTAGTATAGACCCTCCATTTGTGAAAGTCCCTCTCTGGGCCCCCTCTTTTTCAAATTTCTACATCCGCCACTAATACAGTAATCTAGTCTTCAATGAGTCTTGAATATAAAATTGCCATTTCTTGCCATCTAGACGTGCCATAATCATAAATTTTCTTACTTCTGATGGTAGTATAGACCCTCCATTTGTGAAAGTCCCTCTCTGGGCCCCCTCTTTTTCAAATTCCTACATCCGCCACTAATACAGTAATGTGAAAATTTTAGCTAGTGAAACTGTTACACAAGTTTCAAACTTGATGAGAATTGCTGAGTTTTTAGCATGTACTGGTATAATTTGCTTGTTCACATCGTTATGGGACCCCACATGCTTTAAGGGTGATTTTGGCAGTGTGGATGGGTGATGCGATGAGCTTCCAACCTCTACCAGCAACTATTTACACACATTACGTATTTTACAACAAAAATGTTAGATTCTTGGTTTTTTAGGTTTTTTTTAAATTTCAATGCTTATTACTTATAGATCATACTTTTTTTCTTGTCAATTATTACTACTTTGCACTCCAGTTTAGGGGGGTCAAATAAGTGCAGCATGAACATTTATTTAACACTTGCAATTTTTGTTTATATATAGTTTTAGCTGACAAACTGGTGCATACATCCTACCGATGTAGAGATAGCCTAGCTCCCTTTTGTTGTGTATTTGTGAATACCGAAAAGCAGTCTGTTGAGCAATAGTCTATTCCACTATGAAAGTCAGCAATACTCCCTAATAATAATTAAAATAAAAAATGCCTAAATCATAATTGCTTTATAGGTTTAACATTATTTGTATTGACAACAATAGAATATTAAAATGATTAATGCTCCAATGGGAATATAATTATTGATATACTGGAAATATTCATTTTAATAGAAATTCATAAATTTTCATACTGAAATTTGACACAGTATTTTAGTGATAAATGTTTTATGTTTAGTTTTAGTGATAAACTTCACACAAGATGATTAAAATCATAAAAAATCATGAAGAAATGTGTTGTATTGTCACAGACAGTAATTAGTATGCAAACCAAATAATTTTAATCATGTAGTCTATAATTGTATTACTGTATGTGAAAATGTTATGTTGCTGTGTATACTTTTAACAATAAACTTTTTTTCCTTCTGCTAACATGTTTTCTGTTTATTATTTGATTAATATATACATGTATTGGCATATAATACAACTCATGATACAATATGCTTATCCATTACAGTATAACAGAACCATAAACCACTTCAAAACCCAATTTACACAAGATAAAATATAATACTATTGACACAATATGCTTACCCATTATGGTAAACAGATAAGAGAGGTAATTACTTCATGGATGCATGCTAAATGTTACATAGGAGATATTCCTACTGATATACAATACAAACCTTACTTATTTAAAATAATTTGTATATATATATATATATATATATATATAAATTTTGAAAGGCAAATGGGATAAACCCATAAAACAGCAAACGGCCACATAATGCAAAACTATTTAAAATTAAAACGGAACAGCTTGTATTCCACTATTTGCATTCACACCTGGGCTGTGTATATATATTGCCTTGGTTTGGCTCTGTAATCATTAGTGGTCGTGGGACTAGTTTGGGCCCTACCTAAGCTGGTCGAACGTTTCATTTGGGTCTACACCCTAGCTGCACTGATGAGGCCTGGAAGGCCGAAACGGATCCGTCTGCAGACTATTGGGATTCCTTCCAGTGGATGCTTAGTATATTTTGTCATTCTGATCGGATTTTCTCTACTGTTTCGTTTCAGCCTTCAAAGTTTATGATTTTGAGCATTTCTCAGGCAGAAACCAACACCAAATCGAAAATGGGGAAAATAACAGCATATCATGATTTATAGATATATAAAGGTTAGTTTAGTGCGATAAAATAGATTTCCAAAATTATATATAATATACAAACAATTAGTCATTGAAACAAAAAATTATGACAAGTATTTATTTTCGAAAGAAATTTTCGGAGAGTCCTCTGGCCTTCATCAGCTTTACTGAATGCACAAGATTGGCTGTTGCAAGTTGTATACTGTACAATATAAACAATACAATAGTGATGTAGGCGGATTATAGGTCAATTATCTAATAGTTTATATATATTGGGTTGCAGTGTTACAGGCTTCTGCAGTGTCTGTTTTTCTGATTCTGATGTCCGTTTTTTCCTACATGGATGCATGCTAAAATTTCCTTAGAACATTTTTGCTCGCATGAATCGGGTTCAAGTTTCAATGAGCAGAAGCGTGTGGCACAAGTGTGTAAAGCATTGGACTTTTATTCAGATCAGGGGTTTGAGACCGATGCTCGTCACACTGCTTGTGTTCTTGGGCAGGACACTTATCTGCATTTGCCTCTCTTCACCAAGAGAATAAATAGGTACCTGGTAGGAGGTGAATGATTCAGAATAAAATTAGTAGTACTGATTACACGTATAACCAGGAATACTCAGGAAGCAGAGGGGGTTGCACGTTGTGTATGATTGATTCTGTATCCAATGACCAGGGCACTGTAAGACTCTGGCAAAGAGCACTATGTTAAAATAAAATAAATAAAAATATTGCAATTCAAACCGTGAAGGATATAACAAACTGTAACTTACTTAATGTGAGTATTTACTCACAATTCAAAACAGTAATATAGAAAATTACTTGGAATGCAATGAAGTTACAATAATTATAAGGGCTGCCCTGAATTTGACAGAATTCTTGGATACTCCTCACCAAATATCTAGATTTAAACAGAAATTATTTCTGATGTTTACTTGTTATCTTTTATCAAACACCAGATCATAAGGATGCCAGACTGCAAACTTACATAATGGGAGAAATTGTAATTTTGCAAATTAATTGGAATAAATACATACATTTGTATGAGCTATACAAAATATTCCTGATTTATACTTGGCAATAAATGTTGATACAGCATTTTACAATAGGTCGATGAAAAACAACATAGAGAAGCAAAGACATGAGGCAAATTCACTAAAGATAACTTTACTGGCTAATGGAATTCAAAAAACTTTATGCTCTCAATAATCTTACAGTAGTTGCATAGACAATATCAGTGTCATAGGAACTGAACTTTGTTATCAATTAGTAGATACTGTGAGTCTACTGAAAAAAAACTAACCCATCCGTTACACCTTTATGTTGAAGCATTAAATGCCAGTCATTTACGAACAAAATATTCCCACCTTGCATGGAAGGCCTTCCAACTTTACATTGCACACCCCCACTCACCCCATATGATAAAATGCTGGATTAGGCACTGCATCATCAGGGTCAAAAGTTTTAAAGAAATAAAACCAAGGCTGTAGTTCCTAAGAAATATCCTGTATTTAACCCCTGCTAATTCTATACAAGCCTCTACTAGCAACCACCACTTGCAAAGAAGCCTCTGGGCCACTGCCTGGGCCTATGCTATGAACCTATGCTAGTTTGTTTGAATTGACGCAGACCCTGGAGGAACACCTTTCGAGTTTGCTCCATCATCTGATGGTACAACTTGAGGTCCTCATCCTTACTCATCATGGTGCTTTGTAAGGCTGCTTTCAATGCATCGTTCTCATCAATTTGAATGGCTAACCTGCAACAGAAATAAACAACAGCTTGTTTGACTATCAGTGGTCAAGGGTGGATTTAGGGGAGGAGACAGGCTGACTCACTTTTGGAAAGAAAAAAAAATTATTGATTGCTTAGATTGCCTCAGAGGTTATTACCAGGCGTCTAGAAAACAAAAATTTCCCCTATAGGGAAGTGTTGTGTCTCAATCGGACCCCATTTTGAACATCTCTGAATCTGGTGGTAGGAGAGGGTTAAGTATAGAGGCATACAGGAAGTAATATGGTCTGTACTCCATAACACTATCCACTACATGTACCGAGTTCTGCAACATTCAATTGTGAAATTATTTATAAATTAGAGCTAATCAAATATATAATTAAAAGCCATGCACCCATCTGTCCTATGAAAATACATTGTTCAGGATGTCTCTACTCTCACCTTGTCTGCAATTCCTCCAGGTTTTCTACAGTCAACTTAATATCAGTTCTTAGTAATTCTTCCTCTGTTTTATTATTTGCTGTGAACGTGCTTTTCGATTGCGAGCTTCCCTTACGACCTGTGTCAATTCTCAGCTTGCCCAACTGTTTCTCAAGTTGTACATTCTGGCGTTTCACTTCTTGTAGCTGAGAATGTGTAGTAGCTTGACTTTCATTGGCTTCTTCAACTCTAAGGAAAACAAATGATTGTAAAGTACAGCAACATACTTGGTAAAAATTGGAATTTAGAGAATCAAAAAATTATCAACCTTAAGTTTGAGAGGTCTGTCTGCACCTTCTGTACAAAGCGCTCCTATAATAATTTTTAAATGATAATAATAATAATAATAATAATAATAATAATAAAGTAAGAACTTATATAGCGCCATTTAAAAAACCGAAGTAATTATCAGTGGCGCTTCATGTACATCATGAATCGTGGTGTGACTATCAGTTATTAATAAATCAAGCAGATTGCCTAATTTATGAGTCGGTTTGTCTATATGTTGCACAAGATTGTAGTCATTCAAAATATCTTTTACTTGACAAGCCGTAACCTGTCTCTTATACACATCTAGATGTGGTTTTGAGACGTGTTTGAATGAAATCAGAGTCAGAGGGATCAAAATCAATATAAATTTGGATATCATCAGCATAAATGTGATAATAAAGGTTATGGGACTTGATAATTTCGTATAGAGGGGATATGTAAAGGGAAAAAAGAAGGGGGCCAAGAATTGAGCCTTGTGGAACTCCATATTCAATAATTTGGGGATCAGATCTAACTTTGTTTATTTCTACAGATTGAGTTCGGTTAATTAGATATGATGCAAACCAGTTTAGAGCCGTACCAGAAATGAAGAACTGTGAGGATAATCTGTGAAGTAGGATATTGTGATCAACAGTGTCGAAAGCCGCTGAAAGATCCAAGAGTATAAGGGCAACGACCCGTTTCTTATCTAGAGCAACAGTAATGTCATTGTGTATTTTAGCAAGGGCAGTTTCAGTACTATGACCAGTCTTATATGCCGATTGAAAGGGGTCAAACAAATTAAATTGTGTAAGATATGAAATTAACTGTAAGGAAACAACTTTTTCAATAAGTTTGGCGAGATAAGGAAGATTAGAAATTGGCCTAAAATGCTGGAATTGTTGGGGATCAAGAGACGGTTTCTTCAAAATAGGGGTGACTACAGCACTTTTAAGATTATCCGGAAAAGAGCCGGTTTCAAGAGATTTATTGATTAAAGAAGCAATGGCTGGAGCAATACTGGCTCTGCAAAAAATGGACAGTTCCTATATTCACAGACCCTTTAAATGGCTAGTAATCAATTTAATATTTTTTGTAGTAAAACATCTGTAAAAACTTCATTATTTCAAGCTGCGTTTTATTAAAAGTTTAAAAACTCATTTGAGTTTTAAAGTCATTTGATCATTTTAAATCCATCATTTAATAAAATTTTTCTTACAATTTACCTCATAATGTATATCTATAAATGGCAGAACACAAACCTTTTTTGTAGTATTGCAACAAGTTCCATTAACTTCTCTCGTTCAACTTCTGCTACTTGACTAATTGATTTATATTCCTGACACTGTCGACGCAATTCGTCAACATCAATTGCGCTGCAAAATAATGAGTTAGAAAGAAAATATCAATCATTGTTTTAGTAATTCACTGTAGCCCATCGCTCGTATCAGTAGGCCTGACTAGAGCTCTGTGACGGCATGATCTGCACTAATATCGCCCTCACCAAACATTATTCTGTACAACTGTATTTGCTTCCATCCTATAATTTAAGACCACTTATCTTGAACAGAAGTCTGGAGATTGGCTTATTATCCAGAACAAGAAATTGAGGAATTCAGCAGGAAAAGTTTGTTTTCATACAGTACACCCCTCCTCCTACATCCAAGCTCTGTGCTTTACTACGTAATTTTAATAGTGGAGATATGCCATGGAAATAATAGAATCAGAAATAAAAGAGAAATATAATCTTAACACATTACCTTGCACTCAGAGGTCTGGTGGAAGTTGAGGGTGGCCTGGTGGATGTTGATGAAGGCCTGACTGATGTTGATGGCGGCCTGGGTGTGGTTTCCATACCACTTAGTCTTAATGGACTACTTGCACTATGCCTCGAACCATTCCTAAATATTTTTAAAAAATCAAACAAATATTTTGTTGATATGTTTGATTTTGATAGTGGAGATACACATCTCTTCTCTGGATGTATAATTTTGTATTTATAGTGTTGTGGTATGCACATCCCTAACCTAAATGCTAAGTTCTTGGTGGATATGCAGGAATCAGGCCTTAATAAATTCAAATACTGCTACTCTGAATGCTTAGTTCCGTTAGGATGCAGCATGTATGCAGGCATCACACCCTAGTCAAGTTGAACATCCCTACCACTGGACACATATTCTGTTAGGGTGGAGGTATGCATGCTTTAGGCCTTTAGTGGAGTTGAACATACCTCTCCAGGGTTCATAGTGAGGGTGGGTTATGTGAATTAGTGGAATAAAATAATGTGCATGTATGCTGGCATCAAGCCATAGTGAAGTTGAAGATACAATAGTTATGTTATAGTGGGAGATGTATGCTTTATGCCTTTTGTAAAGTTAACATCTCTTCCTATGGTGCATAGTTATGAAGTTATGTTAGGGTGGGTAAGTGACTTAATGGAATAAAATAATGTCCCAACCCCACTGTAGTTATTGGTTTATTACTTCCCATTTTTTGTGTGTACTGACAATTCTCACCTTGAGGGAGGTACTGGGCCATTAGTAAACTGCCCATTAATACTGTCCTCAAAAGCTACAACCCTGGTAACTGGCCTTTCCGCATGGTTGGTTGATCCTGGCCTACTGCCTCGAGATGACGGCCGTTCAGCAAAACCATTCATGATGTGCCTCTCTTCTTGCTAAAAATAAAAGAAAATCAAAGCATTTTTATGGAGAGCATAATATTAGAAAAATTTAGAGTACCTAATCTTTTATGTGTATTACACATATCTGCAGTGATGTTAGTATTCTAGATGCTTCATTCAAATCCAACATATACATAGATTTTAGACATTGTAAAAGCGTGTGGCACAGTGTATAAGGCGCTGGGCTTTCAATTGGGAGGTTGGGGTTCGAGACCAATGCTCGTCACACTGCTTGTGTCCTTGGGAAAGACACTTTTATCTGCATTTGCCTCTCTTCACCTATAAGAATTAATAGGTACTTGGTAGGAGGTGAATGATTCAGAATGAAATTAGTAGTGCTGAACTGTAACACACATAACTAGGAATACTCCCCATGGAGTGCAAGAGATTGCATGCTATGTATGGTTGATTCTGTGTCCAATTACCAGGAAAAAAGTGTCTTGAGCAATTTTCTGGGTATGTGCACTATACTACTGTATTAGATAAAAAATAAATAGTTTAAAACTTTGATAACATGTTTTTAAATTGAAAAAAATTGTTAAAGAAAACAACGTTTTTGCGAAATCTCAGAAAACAGACACAGTAGAGAAGAATGAATATATAAACTCTGACCTGTAACCTCATTTGATTGATTTCTTCCTCGAGGACATGAACCTTTTGTTCTTTTTCAGCAACAATTCTCTTCAACTGCTCAACAATGTTCATTTCCTGCTGATTTTGTTGATCCAAGCGTTGCTGTTGCTGCTGCTGTTGTATCATTTGTTCTTCTTGCTGTCTATGATTTTCGATGTAAACTTCTTTCAATTGGTTTTGTTGTTTCTGTGAAGGAATTTAATAATTTTTACAATTATGTGCATTTGTATAATAATACAGTATTTTAGCCCAATGCTATAGAGTGCACTATCGATCTCTGTGATTCATAATAATAGCCCTGTCAAACAATAGATCAGCTCGCTGGATGAGTATATGCATATTGCAGCTAGTAATTTAGTGAACTGACATCTCAGCCTACCAGGTACACACTTGAGACAATATGGATAAGTTGTCTTGGCCAAGTTCAGACACAAACATATCCAGCATTAGCCTGAACCCCGACCTTTCAACTGGTAGCAGAATACAGTTCAGCAGTGATCAGAATACGTGATCAATTTTGAAAATGTATAGCAAGAAACAACATGGTATTCTATTGTTAGCTATCAGTCCTACCATTTACATACAGTATGACATTTTGATCGTGAACTGATTTGCATAAATAGTGAATACTTACTAATAGAGCAGATATCAGCTCATCATCATGTTTGCCCTTCTCAATGAATGTGCCAACTTGTTGCTTAAGAGACTTCAACTCATTGGCCAGTACTTTGTTCCTTGCTTTAGATGCATCAAATTTCTCCTTTAATTTAGAATGGTCCAACTCCAAGGCTTTCAATTCCTCATTTACTTTCTATTCCAAAAAATAGTTCAAGGGTTAATGATTACAGTTTGGTTGATACCATAATATTCATAAATAAGAATATTGATAATAATAATCAATATTTATAATATTCACAATTTCATAGTGGTGTACTATTCTAAAATTGGTGACACACCCCTACTCTTCTTGTTAAGTGTATAGGTGCACATACGGCTTAATGGGCACAGGACCAAAAATAGCTCTTCCAAAAGACATTTTTCTATTGCAACTGTATGGCAGCCCTCTAGCTGATACTCAAATGGAGCAGTGATTCCATTGAACCAGGAGCTTCTAAAATTCATCACAGCTCACAGTGGCCAACTGCGATATGCTCCTGTGAATAGATTGAAATTTAGTCTACTCTAGATATTAGTATATAATACGAACACTGATGAAGGCAGGGGTCCGAGTCTCCCGGAAAACGGGACAGCCTCCCAAACTCCAGCAAGCAAGCAAGAATCTCCCAAACCACGGTGGGGCTGAAGTGGTCTAGACCCTCCATCTCTGAAAGTCACCTCCTGGGCCACCTCTATTTCAAATTCCTGGATCCGCTGCTGCAGATCTCCCGGAGTTGACTTCTTTTAACTTGGGACCCTTTGAAGGAATGAATGATGGAACAATCTAATCAGACCTGAAATTGACAGGCATCATAAAAGATTAAATACTTAAACAAAAATCTACAATTTTCAGCAGTAATTAATGGCGCCCTCTAACTTACAGCTTGAGCTTCTTTACGTTCTCTTTCCATCTGTCGAATCTTTGTTCTGTTTTTATCTCCTGTAGAGCTACTGGTGCTTTTGAAGGTTCTTGCAGAGAGGAGAGTCTCTGATTTGTCGTCGGGGATGTCCATAGTCATGAACTGATCCTCAAGACTCATCTCAGTGCCAGGTCTAGTGGCCATTGCTAAACGTTGTTGGTTCAACTGGGATTCAAGTTCAGAAACCTTTTGTTGGAAAAAAAAGTTTAACAATTATTTACTGTAATATGATTTCTTCAGTGTTGGACCTTGTATGTATCCAATGTTAACTATGCCTACTTGATGATTTTTGGTGTTGGTTTTTCTTTGCTTTCTTTATACTTTACTCCTTTAGCTCAAAGAGGTTTTTTGGCACTTTGGTTGAGTGATGTATAGATAAAGTAAAATCACTGAACAAGGAATCAACATTTTAAAAACTATATAGCTGGGTTGGTGTGGTCAGGTGGTGCGGGACAGATGATTCTATTTTCTTTGCAGGGGTGTTCATTTAAAGGAACAATGGAAACAGTTGGTTTATCACATACTGTATGTACAAAATAGACCTGTGAATGCTCAGTATAGATACTTTATGTGTTGAGTTTATAGCTGCATGAGCAGTAGAAATGTGCCCTGCAGAGTGGAGGAGGCTGTACATTGTGGATGGCTGTCTGTGGAGCCAATGATTGGAGGTATTATTTGACCTGCGATCTAGCTGTTAATGACAAACCTTATTTTGTAGATTCAGTATCTGCTGTGCTCTACCGCGTGCTCCACCCTTGCCGCTTAGTAGCGCTTGTACATTGGCATTCTCCCCGACCTCTTGGCTCAGCACTTTGTGCACAAGCTTCAATTCCTGCTTCAGCGAGCTGGTTTGATTGCGATATTCCATCATTTTGGACGTGGTCTGGTTGAGTTTATCTTGAATCTGCTTCATCTCAGCCTGTAGTTGAGCCTTTTCACTGGGCTCATCCAGTGTTGTCAGGCCTTTGGAGCTGCCACTTGTAGTGTCGTTCAACTAGAACCAAAACAAGCAGGTTAACTTAGTGTCAATAGGCACAAGATCAATTGACAGGCTCAGTCAAGAATAATACTTCACTTTTAAAGCTTTTTATGCAGAAATAAAATTCTAGTAATTAATGTACAATACTAGCATTATTGAGTACTGTATGTACATTTGTTTTTTTGAATGATTTATTCTGGTATAAACACATAAAATTACAGAAGGCTGCAAACAGCTTAATAAAAGTTTATAACAATAAAATGAAAGTGTTGTATACTGTATATGCAAACAAATCATCATTATCATCATTATTATGCATAAGTATATTATACAAAAAAACAGATCAAACTTCAAACCTGTTTCTCTGTCTCATTTAGTTTCTTTAGAATCTGTTTTACTTTCGTTTTCTCACTTTCTAACTCCGATTTCAGTTCCCGGTTTTTCTTCGATAGATCAACAATCTTAGTAGCAGCAGTTTCACTGGCTACACCGCTACCTATGGAAACAACGCATGTTAAGGAATTATTAACATAGTAGTTTAAACTTTTGTAAATTGATTGTGTTATTGAAATTTTAGTTTAGGGGATAAATCAAAATTAATACTATGTTATAAAGCCAAACCAACTTACCTGCAATTGCCATTCTTTCATTTTCTCTTTGTTTCTTTAATCTTCTGATTTCATAATCTCTCTCACTCAACAGCTTGTAAAGTCTGCCACTTTCATCTTTTAATTCCTAAACAAGTATAAGAAACAAAAATGTGTAAACAAATAAATTGATAATCATTATAATAAAAGAAAATATATATAATTATAATAATGAATATTATTATTATAAATATGAATATATACAGTATATATCATTACTTATACATTAAATAATTACAAAATGTTTTATTTCAACACCATGTACTAGTGTTGAAATTTTTATTTGTTGGGGAGGGGGTAGTGGGGTGTGTGGAATGGGTGGTTGATGTTTATTTACAACATGGTTTAAGGTGCCTATGAATTAATTGCACTCCCATTGTTTCAGTGGGTTAGAAAACTATTGTGAAAGTTACACACTGTATACATACAATAGTCACCTAAAGCAAGGACCTTAAGTGTACAATTACAAGTCCTTCCCTGAAACTTGTGATTTAACAAACATTCAAATTTGTTAAAAACCTTTAAAACTACTAATCATTAAGTAAAACTAATTAAACAAGCAAAAGCGTTTTCCTTAAAAGTACGTAAAAGTGAATGTAAAGAAGCAGTAAAAAAGCAGGTAAAAACGGTAAGTATAACATTTTAGTTTATTTATATGTTAAAACAATTTACTGACTGTCTGATTTATTTAAGTAAGATGTTAGCTTTCGACAGAAAATTAAAACATGAAAACATTCTTTTGAAAATTTGCAGGTGCATAAATAATGATACATTCTAGGCAATGGTTTTTTAATAAGTAATCGATTTATGGATTTTTGTAAAATTTAATTGTTTCGAATTGTTGCACAAAAGGAGTTGATAAATTATTATTTTTTTTTTAACACAGACACTTACTCTGATCTGTTGGTTTAGATGTGTATTCAGTTCTTCATTGTATATAGCATCATTTGGTATTCCCTCACTTAGCTGTAGAATAAACATTGAAAATACATAGATAAATACATAACTATTTAATATACTTGGTACAAATTTTTTTTTTTTTTTTTGAAATTCATTTTTTAATTTCATATTTAAATACAGTACAGTACATCTTTTAGCTAACACTCCTTAGGCTATGAGAATGTAAATGCTATATTTGGTTACAGCACCTGCATTCCTCAAAAGCTCTGTTGAACATTTTTATTATTAAAAAAGAAAAACCATTATTTGCACAAAGAAGGTATGTCATCACCAGGGCTAGAAATTTACTTTTTCAGCCACTAGCAACCTATTGCTAAAATGTGCTAGTTGTTAAAAATGTAACTAGCAAAATGAGCTTCTCAACTAGTAAAATATATTGATACCAACTCAACACATTATTTTCGGAAAATAAATTGTATGAAAATAACTAATGATGTTACTTCTATAAATTTGTGTGTTAAATGTTTTAATATAATATTTTCTGTTATGGTGAGTGTAGTACAATAACTATCACAAAGAAATAGCCAAGTGAGTATAAAAAATCGATTTCTATACCTTGTACATTTATTCACTTCAGTGTCAGAAAATTTTTAATATGAAGAAAAAAA